ATTTCCAACAGCATTTCCCACAGACATCAGAAAGCTAACACGCCACCAAGAACAATCCTAATTTACACTAAAACCTTATCTGTCCCATCTCAGTAAATCTCCCAGCTGCTGAGGTCAGACACCTAGGAATCGACTTTGATTCCTTCTGTTCCCTCCCCGAGCACCCAGTCCACTGTAAAAGCTAACATGCCACAAAGAGCAATCTTAATTTACACTAAAACCTAATCTGCCCCATTTTCGCAAATCTCCCAGCTGCTGAGGTCAGACGCCTAGGAATCGACTTTGATTCCTTCTGTTCTGTCCTCCCTAAGTCCTGGGTGTGCTGTTTCTCTCTTGCTCTCCACCTGCACCCTTTCTCCCACCTGCTCATACACCCCGTTTCACACGCTGTTTCTAAAGCACGTGGCGTGTTCTCTCTTGCTCTCCACCTACACCCGCTCTCCCACCTGCCCATACACCCCATTTCATATGCTGCAGCCAGGCGCTCCTATCACTCTGCAGCTCAAACCCCTGGGGATTTGGGATAACAAGTTACCCCCACCAAATGGGTCCTGCATGATGGGAATGCTCCTTATGTCCCCCACCTCATCTCCTGGCCCACCATGGCCCGTATGCTTGCCCTCATCCTGTGACAGCCCGGCGGGGGGGGCTTCCCTCTCTGCGCTACCCACACCTCTCATCCTTCTAGCTCAGAGCCTGCCTTCCCCTGCAGCAAGGAAAACGGGGCTGGAAAGTCATGTGCTTTGTTAGTGATGCTTCCTTTGTCTTAGTGATGATGAGGACCGTCATGAGGAAAAGAATCAAACCTTGGACCTATCCTAGGAATTACAGAAGGGTGAGAACTGCATCATGGGGTCAATTAGAAACCGAGGGCCTATAAATTGTCACATTTCATTTTTATACACGCACACACATTTACCTGTTACCTCTGAACGTTTAAGAATGTAAAACATGAGGTCTATGAACTAACTCAACTGAATCTGCTTTCATCGTGACTGCACATAACCACGTGCGAGGCACACGCTGATGGGTCTTTCCCTTTCATTTTATCTTCTACCAAAATTTCCGGCTCCAATTCCCACACTACATAGAAAATAAAGGACAAGTTGTCAGGACAGTGCCTTTCTCCCTCCTCTACCCTGCCTGCCCCTTTTAGTGCACCTGGTACATGCTAGGGCTGGGGAGCTCCTCCTTCCTGGGCAGGTTGTGTAAATGCTGGGGTTTCCAAACATCCTACCCCAGCCGTCTCCCCGCTCTGCACATCCTCCTGTGATGCTGTGACTTATACCCACTGCTTCAGCCCGTAAGCTGGTGGCACCTGAGAGGTGGGATGATGTGTCAATGAAAACCTCAGATGCTGGGTTTCAATCCTGGCTCTGCAATACAGCTCTGAGATTTTGGATAAGGGTGTTACTGTCTCTGCTTCAGTTGACTCATCTGTAAAATTGGGATCACAGTAGAACTTATCTCAAACGGCTGCTGGGGAGACGAGTGAGGCTGAGATAAGCCCCACCTGAGCGGCCCTGCCTGCTATCCACTCTACCTGTCAGTGTTTTGACTGGACCTATCCATTCACCTGGCAAGTCCTCCAGACCACCACGGGCTCCCGGCCCCTCAAGCTCAGTATTTATATACCTGGCTGGATCCTTGGCAGTCCCACCCTAACTGTCTTCAAAAGCCTGTCTCTTGACCACGTAGGTGTACCAGGAGAAACCTGGGGCCAGGCTGCTGGCTCTTCTTCCTCCCTCCACATCAGATCTGCACCTACATCATGCTGAACTTCACACCTTAGCATACTTCAGATCTAACCTACGGGCCCTATCTACACCCCGTCTCTTTTTAATCCAGCCCTCATTATGTCTCTTTGCAACAGCGCCGCACGATGACTTAGAAACTACGAAAGGGGATGTGCGCTGCTCTCCTGCGGCAGGGCGGGAAGCCACCAGCCCCGCGCTACCCTGAGAGGTGATTTTGTTTCAGGCTCTTTCCCATTCAAAACATTCTTGGAAATGCAATGCGTACGGTGATAAAAGAACGAAGATGCTCGCCCTGATACTTTAACTGGCTGGGAAATTTCTTAGTAGCCGGACAAATTATGTTTGAAAACAATAACTCTGCAGTGGTCTGAGCTAGGATTTGACTGCATCTGTCTCATCCAGATGAATATGGGGAAAGCTGCTTATCGCTTATACACTTCACCAAGCTGAGAACCAGAAGACACGGGGATGAACATCACCCACAGAATCGACCAACTCAATCGGCCAGAGCAGGGGAAAGAACATTCAGTCAGGGTTAGTGTCCTAGGACACAGAAACAACGCTCTGGCTCTCCACCAACTAAGAGGGGAGCTGCGCCAGGCGTGCTCTGCCGGGCTCTCTGACGGTCATGCTTAAGTGTGGCCACCAGAGAGGGCTGGGAATTCCACAACATTCAACACCAGACGAGAGCTAGAAAGTCTTCAGCTGCATGAAAGGAGCCGAAGGTAGTTTTTATGGGAAGGATACTTCAGAAAGCATTACTTCTTTACTAACTTCTCAGTGAGGAGAATAATCTACAAAACCTGTTGTTGCCGTTAGGTGCCATCGAGTCGGTTCCGACTCATAGTGATCCCACGTACAACAGAACGAAATATTACCCGGTCCTGCGCCATCCTCACAAGTGTTGGTATGTTTGAGCCCATTTTTGTAGCCACGGTGTCAATCCATCTTGTTGAGGGTCTTCGTCTTTTTCGCTGACCCTCTCTCTACTTTACTAAGCATGATGTCCTTCTCCAGGGACTGGTCCCTCCTGATAACATGTTCAAAGTAAGCGAGATGAAGTCTACTTCCTAGAATCTCTTGATATTAATCCAGTTCCAGAACTGTTGAACAAGCAAGAATGTTTCGCACTGTAATTTATCCCTACTTATTAGCTTCAATGGAGTCCTGGTGGTGTTAACGGTTAAGAGCTCAGCTGCTAACCAAAAGGTCGGCAGTTCGAATCCACCAGCCGCCCCTTGGAAACCCTACGGGGCAGTTCTACTCCGTCCTATAGGGTCACTCTGCATCGGAATCGACTCAATAGCAACGGGTTTGGTTTTGGTTTTATTAGCTTCAACACTGCTCTGTGTTTACTCAAATTTAGGAAATATGCACATTCTTCCACCCTACACTAATTCTTATGCAGAGAGAAAACTACTAAGAATACGATACTTCTTCAAAATGAAGCAGTATTATTCAGTTCAATCATCAGAAACTGATGATATTCAGCCATCTGAACTACAAAAATGTTAATTTCATGTTAGTCAACCTCATATTTATCAGATGTCGACAACAACAGTGGATTCCTAGGGCTTCCCAGTGAAATAGTTATAATGTAATGCTAAAGAGAACTTACAATAAACACAGCAATAGTCTGAGAACACGGATCCCTGGTGACGCAACGGTTAAGCTCTCAGCTGCTAACGGAAAGGTTGGTGGTTTGAACCTACCCAGAGGCTCCACAGGAGAAATACCTGGTGACCCGCTCCTGTAAAGATTACAGCCTAGAAAACTCTATGGGGCAGTTCTACTCTGTCACACGGACTCTCACTGTGAGTCAGAATCAACTAGATGGTGCCCGACAACAACAGGCTAAGAACATTAAGGGAAATAAGGGACATATCCTCCCACCAAGTGCTAAATTCAGATGTATTCACTGGTCCCACAAAGACAGCTTACTTTCTAGCCCATCCACAGGGCCTACCACAGTGACGGGCTTGCCCAGCAGAGGCCAGGCCTCCTCCACCCTGCACCTGCTCAGGTTCGGATACTGCAGGTGCCCAAAAGGGGTTGCTGAATGAATGTGCTAAGCCAGGAGCTTCTGTGCTCGACACAAAACATTCAGTCTGACATGGTCACCTGCCAATCAAAGACCAGAAAATGATGACTATTTTCTCTAAGAATAAAATTAACCGCTCCTGATAATACTCTAGGAAACCACCTTACTTGGGAATTGTATAGCTACTTCACAAAACTGGTAAACGTTGATCTCTAAACATTTCTAGTTTTGAAATTAGATTTTTTTACTGAGAGTTATATATAAATAAGTTAAAATTTGGCTATTTTGACTTGCTACGTAATTGTAGATTTACAGAAGAGCTGAAAAGACAGTACAGAGAGTTCCCGTAATACCCTTCACCCAGCTTCCCCTCCTGTTAACATCGTACAGAATCATGGTACCTTTGTCACAACTAACAAAACAATCTGGGTACAATGCGATTCACTAAACTACAGACTTTATTCAGATTTCACTAGTTTGTCCATAAATGTCCTTTTAAAAAAAATTGGGGGATCCCATCCAGGACAGCACAGTGCATTCAGTCATCACGTCCCCTCAGGTTCCTCCTGTCTGTGACAGCTGCTTGGTCTTTCCTGTCTTTTGTGACCTTGACTCTTCTGAAGAATAATCATCAGAACTCTGTAGGATCCGTCAATTTGAGTTTAAAGTTCTACTAGTATAATTTTTTAAAAAAAGCATCTCTGGTACAACTAATATCAGAGAGAAAGAAAGGTAAAAATCTTGCCAATTATTCTTAGTATTGGAGACACATGCACCCAGATGGTCTCTCCCATCAATCATGGATTATTCAAGCTCCACCAAATAGAATAAGGGACTCTTTCAACCCTTCAATGTGAGTGTTAACTAAAAACAACGCTGTAGAAATTTAAATGTAACTAAAGGTAAGAGGCACATAAAACAAAATGGCTGTCGAAAAGGCAAATGTTAACTGACCTATCCACTCCATACAGCTGTTCTGGAAGAAACGAGGAGCTGAGACGTATTTTTTAAAGCTATTTAAGAAGCCAAGTATACATATTTGTTTCAATAAGACTAGAATAACTATTAGCTTTTTACATTACAGCTTTTACACATAAGGGAGAATACCATATCATTTTATTCTTCCAAAACCAATTTACCATTGGGGAAAAGGTATTTGCATAACTTGATTATTTGATTATGATAAACGAGACTCTAATTACCTTGACAGAATCCAGTAAACTCTTAGGGAAAAATCGCTTTAAACCAACATCTTTTCTGAAATATAAAAAGAAGTGTATTAACAAATAACACCACCAAATTAATATAATGACATTCTTGCAAGAATATAAAAGCACATTAAATTATTTATCCATCCACATGGTACTCAGGCAGGAAACAGTATGACGCAGCTTCAGTTAACCAGCACATTTCATGGGAGGAGAAGGAGAAATCAGTTTATAGATATATACAGAAAACATAAACACATTTTAAGCAGAAAGTCCTTTGGTTTTTTTTTTTTTTTTTTTAACATGTTGTCGAAAATTTTAAATATCGCCTTGCTGCAAAGTACAATGTATGAATAAAGGGTTGTTTTTCAGATATTGCTTGAAGGTTACCCTATAACATCAGTTCCAACCGGGTAGTGGGATTTATGGAGAGAAAGCAGACCAGCCAGATCATAAAAAGATTCAGGACATCCCCTGAAGTTTAAAAAAATACCTCCCTCCCTTGGATTTATTCTACCAGTTGACTACTTTCTAACACACTTTTCTGGGTAAGGGACTCATTCGCCTAATCAAGGTTTAGCATCTCAGTCTCACACAAGGAAAACACAAACAAAGTGATCTAAGGTCAGAAAGCTGAACGCATGGAAAGGCTGGAAATCCCAACGATCTCCCTTACATCAGGCAACGAAATTAAACGAGCTGTTATTACCAAAGGCCTCAAAGCACTCTGGCCAAGGAACTTCAGCAGAAAACAGACGGCAAAGAATAGGTCATTCTTGCTTTTCTGCCCACTTTGGTCACTAAGTTACCCAGGCTTTTTGGCCACTAGATGGCACTCATGTGCCAGTAAGACGAAATACTGCCTCTAATTAAGTAGGTGACGGGATTTCAGGAGAGTCCTGGAAAATATAAAGGATGAAGAAGGAGAAAAGTGAAATACAGGTGTCTTTTCAGATCACATAAGGAAACAATAAATTGAATATAAAGTTTAAAAAAAATAAAAAACCACCAGGGATGACTTCTTCGTTTACAACTATAAACTAGCTGGTAATAAAAATATAGAAATCAAGTCAGAGTTCATGAATAATCCTATATCTAAACTTCCTAATCCCCTATTCTATAATCTAATTACCAGTTAGTACCTAAACCGATGAACTCCTTCTTGTTAAATCCACAATTAGTCTCAGTCCTTACTCTCCTTGCCGTCATTATTTATGATTTCATTACATCCTCTGAAGTTCTTCACTGAGTTGCTGGCTTACTGTTTCCTGGTCTCACCTACTAGTTAATTTCCGTAACTCCTGGTTTTCGGTTTATTTCGCTATCCTCTTTTGGTTGTAACTCCCTTTCCTTATCTTTTCTGAACTGACAATTTATTATCTGACCTACTTTGATTATTTGATACGAAGAGGAAAAATGTCGGCCCCAGTTTTTCTCTTCCCTGCTGCCTCTCAAAACACAGGGCCTTTGCATTTGAAGGATTTTGGTGTTCAGCACTACTGGGAAACTGAGGGTAGCAAAATCAGCACATAAAGGAAAAATAAAAATTCTAGAATTTTAAAGGTATTATCCTTGAAGATTTTTTCCCCTTATCCTCCTTTTCAGGGAATGATTCCATAACAAAAAGCACCACTTATTTCCCTAGCAGAAAGTCCTGGACTGGAATCTTGGCTTTGCCACAGGAGGCATTTGGCTATTACTTAGCATCTGTGGACCTCAGTTTATCTATTTGTAAACTGGGAATGCTAACTCTGACAGCATACAGCGGTGCTGAGGATTAAACAAGAATGTGTTTACCAAGTCCCTAGAATACTTTCCCCTGGGAACACCCCGAAGCCCCTCCTGTCTGGTGAGATTCTGGCCCATACACAACCCACTGTGTTAAGCAGAAGAGAGTCGTGACCTGGCCCGTGGTTTCCCCGGACTGCCATATGCAGAGTATACTGTGTGTGTGTGTGTGTTGGGTGGGGGTGGATTCCCACAGGAGTTCAGGCAAGCAATGGCAGGGGACGTGGACGAGGGCAGCACGGGGAGTGAGAAGTGGTGAGAGTCAGGATACATTACGGACGAAGGGCCAACAGTGCTACCTGATTGAATTCCGGGGCGGGTGATGGAGTGGGCACCGAGAGCTGTTTTCTTTTTTTACTGTACTTTAGATGAAGGTTTACAGAACTAGTCATTAAACAATTAGTACACATATTGTTTTGTGACACTAGTTACCAACCCCACGACATGTCAACACTCTCCCTTCTCAATCTTGGGTTCCTATTACCAGCTTTCCTCTCCCTTCCTGCCTTCTAGTCCTTGTCCCTGGGCTGGTGTCCTCCTTTAGTCGTGTTTTGTTTTATGGGCCTGTCTAAACTTTGACTGAAGGGTGAACCTCAGGAGTGACTTTATTACTGAGCTAAAAGGTTGTTCAGGGGCCATATTCTTGGGGTTTCTCCAGTCTCTGTCAGACCAGTAAGTTTGGTCTTTTTTTGTGAGCTAGAATTTTGTTCTACATTTTTCTCCTGCTCTGTCCAGGACCGTCTATTGTGATCCCTATCAGAGGAGTCAGTGGGGGTAGCTGGGCACCGTCTAGTTGTGCTGGACTTGGTCTAGCAGAGGCCATGGTAGTTGGGGTCCGTTAGTCCTTCGGACTCATCTTTCTCCTGCGTTTTTTGTTTTCTTCATTCTCCCTTAGACATGGGCAGTTAGAGACAGGGGGCTCTGTGTGACGCAAGTGGAGATCTCGGGGAGGTAGCTGGCTATCTAAGTCTTGAGGTGAGGAGAAAGGCCAGGACAGGGTCTGTCCTCCTCCTGCCCATGAGACTGCTGACGGCCATCAGTCATCCGTAGACATGTCTACTGTTCTTAGAGACAATTTACTGTACTCATTTCTGTCACAAACAGGATAATTAAAGATGGACCAAGAGGGTTCTATGTTTCAAGAAAAATTAAAAGGAGCATATTGCTTCGTGAAAATAAAAACTACCATTAGGTGTTACTTATTTTAAATGCTTCAAAGGTGATGACATCTGCATCAAAGAAACAAAGCTTAAGGCCAGTTGATGCTTAGCAAGTGTGCAGTGTAGGGTTTTCAAAACTACTTCTGAGTAATAATTAATTTGTAACTTTTGTCCATATGGAAGAACTCTATTTAATAAAACACCTGACATGTGAGAAAATTAAAATAAGTCTGAAGTACACAAAATTGTGAAAAAATTCAACAACAACTTTTAACAGATTTTCTCAATTAAATCTAGAAGCCCATGTACCTCAGGCTCTGTGGTGGAAGGCTCGGTGACGGGCAGAGAGCGCCGAGACACTGTGCTCGGTGTCTGGAGAGCCTATTATAGAAATCTAAATTTAAAGCCTCTCTTAGGAGCCAGGCAGGGGCCATGCAGGCTGCCCCATTTTTCATACCAGGTCGCCTACCCCTCACTGCGGTTGGGTCTGGTTGTCAGTGGTTTACCACGTGTCCTCTAACCTGCAGCTGTTCAGCTGTGTGTGGCATCAAACTCCTTTAAACCCAAACGCTACACAACGGCCATATGTAAATAAAGCGATAAATACAACGTATGCATAATAAAACGTGACTCCTGGCCTTTACGACATAACTCTTCACTAGATGGATAGCTGTCAGAGGGTATACCCTAAATGCATGTAAACCCTCTGACAAAAAACTAACTGACATCAAGCATTTAGAAAACGACCAAACTCCAACTCCCAAATGCAAGCATTAGGTTGTTAAGATTCCCTATTGGTTCAAAAGGAATCTTTTGAACCCATACACAGCTGACAGGCTATCAACATTAGGTAAGAGCTGTGCTGTCTGATGCAGCAGCCACATATGGCTATTCCTACTTAAATGAATTAAAACTAAATACAAATTTCCTTCCCAGTCGCAGTGGCCAAATTCCAAGGTGGTAACAGCCCGTGTGGCTAGCAGCTGCCGTGCTGGACAGGCAGACACAGAACACATGCGTCACTGCTGAGAGCTGTAACGGGCAGCGCTGGGGTGAGACGTTGACTCTAAGACTCCGCATCCTGGGTGCTGTGGGCCTGAGCTCGCCTCAGTAGAGGCGGGGGGCTGAAACGGATGGATGCTGCCCTCACTGCACAGCGACCACGGGGACGAACCACAAAGGGGCTCCAGCACTGCTCAGAAGACATGGAAAGGGAGGAGAGGCGCCTGCTGCGATGGTGCCGCGGCGGGGCCGCCAAGTTACTGCGGAGAGCTCAAGTGAAGTGAGGGGCCTCCTACCGCCCGTGCACACACACGACGGAGACAGAAACCCCCGCGGCTTTTATTACTCTATTTTTCTCTCTGGATGCACAAGAGGGTTTCTACAATCTATTCTCTAAGATTCAAGCTATTCTGATCTTGGAGCCATGTAGAAGGACAGCCTACACGCGTTCATTTACTGACGCACTGAGACTACTGTGTACGGGGCACCATGTTAGATAACGGGGACAAAAAAAAAAATCACTGAAATACGCTCCTCTCCTCCGGGGAGACAGTCATGTAAATAACTAACTGTACAACAGCGTCAAAGGTGCCATAAGACAGTGAGCTTTCAAAACCAATATATTTAGGGTTTCTGGGACTCAAAATTACTTCTGTGGTCAATTTCAAACCAGAATTTTCTTAGGTAATGTTTAATTTACGTCTGTCCTTTACATGAAATATTTAGACTACTGCTGACTGATGACGCCTTCTTTCTCTTTCCCTTTTGTTAACCCTCAGAATCGCTGCCATGCTCTCAGCTGATCCCACCACTGTGGTGTTCTCTGAGAGAGCTTCACACACACACACACACACACACACACACACACACACACACACAC